TGATAAAAGGAAAAAGAAAAGTAAATTCTGGGTAACTTTGTTTTAAGGAAATTAAAAAAAATAGAAAATAATTAATTAGGATACTTTTATCTTTTAAAAAATTGGTTTAAGGAAAAAATAGTGTATATTGAACACAAGGCGTGTTTATAAATTCAGTAGATATTTATAGATTTCAATAATTATGCTATTAATAAAAAAAAAAAATTAACTGTATCAAAATTTCATAGTTAAGTTATGACAGTAAATAATAGATATTTATTTTCCAAATTCTGGGACACATACTTTTCCCAAATATATAAAGAATGTCTAATCAGGAAAATCAGAGTATAAAGAAGATATTCCCGATCACGTCCGACTGCTCCGTTATAGGAAACAAAATCTGCTCCAGTATAAGAAACGAAATCTGTGTATATATATATATATATGTGCACAAAGACGTTCGGTACAGGGAAATTAAACAGATTGGATTAGGTTTCCGTTCTGGCATATCTTTCATCTTCTCTGCACTGTGAGAAAAATTACAGGCGACAGAGATGGTGAAAGAGTCAGCAAGGAAGTGCGGTCATTGTGGGCTAAATGGTCACAACTCAAGGACTTGCAATGGCAATGGCGGTGACAAGAGTTCTTTCAGGCTATTTGGTGTGGATATATTGGAAAATAAAGAACCCGCCATTGTCAAGAAAAGTCGGAGCTTGGGGGATCTGCAACCTCTCGCCGACAAACATGAAGCTGCTGATTCAGGGTATTCCTCAGACACCCAAATTATTTCCCAGAAAAGTACAGAAAGAAAGAAGGGTATGTATAATATATACTTCAAATTATTATGGGTCGGTTTCCTTTTCATATGTATTTTTTCGATTCTGAGAGGGAGGATGAGAGTATTCACACCCAGAAAAACAGAGCGCAAAAAAATTGAGAGATGAGATGAAGTGAATGATTTAGGGCTTCCAACTGGTTTATTCTAATCTTCCCCCTTCTCTGTTCTCTGAATCCATCTCTGGTTTCCAAAAGAAATCGTGCTTTTGGGTTTTTGTTTTCAAGGATGAAAAGCAAATAAATAAAGATTTTTCCAGAATGAAGATCCAGGTTCTTGTTATATTTATTATTTTCAAGTTTTTTGATGTTCTATTAAGTTTTTTCTTTTTTTTCCTTCTTTTTCTGTTCTTGCCGGATCTAAATCTTTTCCTTTTGTAACTTTCATGTATAGAAAATCAGCTTGGAGGGTGATCTTTGGTTCCCTCATAGTTTGTTTTGTAGGTTCTTTGATTTTGAAACCACATTGATCTTTTCCTTTTGATCGTCTGTTTTCTTTTAATTTTGACAAAAAGCAGATAATTAGTTTTATAAATTTTCTTCAGTCTTTCAAGAACGCAAAACAGAGACATATTTTTAACTAATTCGATTACAATCTCATCCTGTAAAATCTGAACTTAACCATTAAATGTTTGATTAAAAAAATTCAAGAATAATTAGTTCATCTACTGATGAAATTACCAAAACTGGTTGTGGGTAACAAATTTGTTTGATGTAAAAATGGAAACCTTGATTGATTAAAGATTCTGGCATAATTTTCTTGTGACACACGATTTCATGTTTGGAAAAAATATTTCAGGAAATCCATGGAGTGAGGAGGAGCATCGTTTATTTCTAGCTGGTTTGGAAAAGATGGGGAAAGGTGACTGGATTGGAATTTCAAAGAAATTTGTCAACACCAGAACACCAACCCAGATTGCTAGCCATGCCCAGAAATATTTTCTCAGACTGGCTTCCATAGATAAGAGAAAGCGAAGAACAAGCGTCTTCGATATCACCCTTGAACAATCTGTAATCCCTCTCATAATTCCTAATTCTAAATTAATTTCCTTAATAAAAAAAAAACAGAGTGATTAGATTAATGAGTTCATATTCAAGTTTTATTTATGTGCATGGCTAACTCAGCGTTATATATGTATTTATAGAAATCCAAAATTGAAGATTTCTCGAATGGAAATCCAGAAACTCTGCCACAAGGAATGCCAGTTATGGAAGCGGCTAATGCAGGAGCAAATTCCATGCAATCAGCTAATGGAGTCGGAGTTACACAGCAGGTAAAATCAAAATCAGGAAGCACATATATACATATGTATATGTATATGCACTCTTTCATGAGCAACTTTGTGGCTATACATGTAACTGTTTCTTTGTAATAATCTCACAGGCTAGTAATAGTCCATCAGTTCCAGTGCCAACACATTTCCCACTCCTCCCTCTGATTCCAGCTTCTGCTGTTTCAAATTACAGGGTACGTACATATATATATTATATAGCCCAAATAAGATTATCTGATTCTGGGTATCCTAGAACATGTGATTATATGATCTGATACATTTTTGGGTATGCAGAGAAATGGAGGCAAGATATTGATGCCCTTGCCATCTCCATTTGTGAGTGTAATGAATTATGGTATACCAACAAGTTATGTCCAGCTGGCCCAAAGCTTATGGAACGTTGGTAGTACTGGAGGTGTGGGTACTCAACCGTTGGGTCTCCTTGGCCCAATCTCAGCTGGGCCTGCAACTTCAATATCATCTTCTACAAGATCAGACCCTTTGGGACTTACACTTAATGGACCCTCTAACCCTAATTCGCAGACAAGCAACACTAACCCAAATGAGGTCATCAATGGCCAATAACAAATGATATATATATATATATATATTTTTTTTAAATTTGTTAATTTTTGAACCCTAATTCAGATGGTATTATATCAGATGATAGAAAGGCGAAGTTTTTGAATCTGAATGACAAGGGTACCTACCCATGGAATCCAATGGACCCAAAACCCATTGGTGCTTAGTAGATAATTAGTGTAGTCTTGGGTACCTCCAAAGCCCATTGGTGCTTACTAGCTGATTAGTATTAGTTTAGAGGTTAAAGATGTCATTTTCCTCGTCGATTAATGAAATGTGATTCCCAATTTTGTACTGTGAGCCCTCTCCATTCTAAATAACCTTCTCTACTACATTGGAGATCAGTATTATTTTGGTCTTTAATTAGTGTGTGTGTATATATACATAAGTTTGTGGACCAACTAAATCATATTAAATTTTTAGCCAAATCTTATTAATCTAAGTAAAATAAAATACTAAGTAACATAAAATCATGTCTCAAAAAATTTCACATTAAATTTTATTTTATAATTACGATTGAGAAGATCTATTAAGTACAAAAATTTCGAGAAATAAAAATATCAAAGAACCAAGAAGAAAAAATATTAGCAGATGATAATAATGATCCAAACAAAACAAATCATGCATATAAAGGATAAGCTTTCTCCTATTTTATCTTCCCTTTTTGTTTCTGTTAAACTTCATCGCTCATCCTGCAAATTAATAGTTGAGTAAGAAATGAGGGAAGAAGAGTGAAAGTGAGATTCGAATAAAAAGGTTGAATGACGGATTTTTTTTTTTTATTAGAATAATTGGAATTACGTGATAATACAACTAAATTAACCAAACTAATAAGAACTTGAAATTAGGTATAATAATTATTAACGTTTTAGTTATAAATAATTCATAAATTATATATAGAAATGACGAACTATATTAGAGATATAAATGGATGTGCCAATAACAAATTATATAGTAGGGAAAGAAGAAAAAAGAAATTAAGAATACAACACAGTTGTTTAAAAAAAAAAAAAAAAAAAAAGAAAAAAATTCGTCTATCAAGTGTCAAAAACTTGCCTTCCAAAATCATTATTTCAAAATAATTCATAAAAAAATTAATAATAATAATAACATATCTATAAAATCTTATATTTTCTATACATGTACACGGCGCATGCATGAAACAGAAAAAATAAATTAAATTAAATTATTCCATACAAGCTTGCATCCTTGAGGAATTGAAGAATCATCCGTGTTATCTTGCACTAATTCCATTTATATAATTTATCATCAAATGATTTTAGTATTGCACCTACGCATATTTGTCTGCATGCATGCATCTGTACAAACAAGTCAAAAATAAAAATAATAAGAGTGAAAATATATCAGAAAGAGTAGAGAGTAAATGCATTACCTTATAGATTTCAATAATTATTTATATGTAAATTATTTTTTTAATATTATGCAATTATAAAATAAACAAATAAATTAAAATTTAAGCAGAGTAACAAATATTTATTTTACAAATTACCAACAGATACTTTTCCCCCCCATGTTTGTTTAACCATTTGGCATATATATATCTTTCGTCTTCTCCGCCCTCCGAGAAAAAATTACAGGCGACATAAATGGTGAAAGAATCACCGAGAAAGTGTGGCCGTCGTTGGCTATATGGTCACAACTCAAGGACTTGCAAAGGCAATGGCGGCGAAAATAGTTCTTTCAGGCTATTTGGTGCGGATACAGTGGAAAATAAAGAACCCGCCATTGTCAAGAAGAGTCAGAGCTCTGGAGATCTGCAACATCTCGTTGGCAAACATGATGCTACTGATTGTGGGTATTCCTCAGATAGCCAAATTAATTCCAAGAAAAGAACACAAAGAAAGAAGGGTATGTGTTATATATACTCCAGACTAATATGGGTTTCTTTTTCGTATATATCTTTTGAATTATTCACACCCAGAAAAACAGAGAGAAAAAAATTTGAGAGATGAGATCGACGAAGTGAATGATTCAGGGCTTCCCGCTGGTTTATTCTAATTTTGTCCTTCTCTGTAACTCTGAATCCCTTTCTGTTTTCCAAAAGAGATCTGTTAGGTCCCAAGTCAGAACCACAAATTAAGAACACTTTCCTAACTCAGGCTGAGGGAAAAAAAAAAAAAAAAAAAAAAAAAAACCACACTTTGTTTACTGATTTTTCCCTTTTCTGCAATTCCGTACATGCTTAAATAGGGAAATGTAGAATAACCGCTTGAACTGCTCTGGTTGTGGAAGAACTGATCTGGTCGTGGGACTTTGTGGAAGAACAGCTTCGGTTGTGGAAAAATGGTTTAACTGTCAACTTGTCCCACGTCTTCGGGTCTTATCAAGATCTTGCTTTTGGGTTTTTGTTTTCAAGGATAAAAAGCAAATTGAGAAAGGTATATTCAGAATGAAGAGGTTCTTGTTTTATTTATTTTTTCTTTTTCTGAGTTTTTTTTCTTTCTGTTCTTGTTGGATCTACATGTTTTTCTTTTGTAAATTTCATGTAGAAAATCAACTCGGAAGGTGATTTTTGGTTCCCTCATAGTTTGTTTTGTAGGTTCTTTGATTTTGAAACCACATTGATCTTTTCCTTTTGATTACCTGTTTTCTTTTAATTTTGACAAAAAGAAGATAATTGGTTTTATAAATTTTCTTCAGTCTTTCAAGAATGCAAAATAGAAAAAATACTTCTAGCAAATTCGATTACAATCTCACCCTGTAAAATCTAAACTTACCCATAAAATGTTTGATCAAAGAAATTCAAGAATTACCACAACTGGCTGTGGGTAATAAATTTGGTTAATGAAAAAATGGACACCCTGATTGATTAAGGATTCTGGCATAATTTTCAAGTGATTAAACCATCTTATAGTTGGAAAAATTATTTCAGGAGATCCATGGAGAGAGGAGGAGGGACATCGTTTATTTTTAGCTGGTTTGGAAAAGATGGGGAAAGGTGACTGGATAGGAATTTCAAAGAAATTTGTCAAGACTAGAACACGAACCCAGATTGCTAGCCATGCCCAGAATTATTTTCACAGACTGGCTTTAGAAGATAAGAGCAAACGAAGAGCAATTATCTTCGATATCTCCCTAGAACAATCTGTAATCCCTCTCAAATTCCTTATTATAACTTAATTTCCTTACGGAAAAATTAAGCAGAGTGATTAGATTATTGAGTTCATATTCTAGTTTTATTCATGTGCATCGCTAACTCAACTTTATATTCGTATTTATAGGAACCAAACGTTGAAGACTCTTCGCATGGAACTCCAGAATCTCTGCCACAAGTTAATGAAGGAATGCCAGTTATGGAAGCGGCTAATGCAGGATCAACTCCCATGCAATCAGCTACTACAGTCGAAGTTACACAGCAGGTAAAATCAAAATCAGGAAGCACATACATACATAGATATATATATATACTCTTCCCATGAGCAACTTTGTGGCTATATATCTAATGGTTTCTTCGTAATAACCTCACAGGCTAGTGATAATCCACCAATTGGAGTGCCGACCCATTTCCCACTCCTTGCTCTGGTTCCAGCTTCTGATGTTTCAGATTACAGGGTACGTACATTTGGATTATATGCTCTTATGCATTTGTGGGAATGCAGGGAAATGAAGGAGGAAGGATATTGATGACCTCACCATCTCCATTTGTGGCCGTAATGAACTATGGTATACCTACAAGTTATGTCCAGCTGGCCCAAAAGCTCACGGAACGTTGGTAGTCATGGCCGTGCGGGTATTCAACCATCGGGTGTCCCTGCCCCAATCTCAGCTGTGCCTGCAACTTCAGTATCATCTTCTACAGGATCAGACCCTCTGCAGCTAACCCTGACTCGCAGTCAAGCAACACACCCAAATGACGTCATCAATATGCCCGATAACAAATGATGTCTCCTGAGATTTTTTTTGTTTTTTTCTTTCTTTCAATTTCTTAATTCTTGAACCTTAATTCAGATCGTATTAGATTACACGATTGAAAGGCGAGGTTTATGAAGGTCAATAACAAGGGTAACTAGGAATAGACCCAAAACCATTTGGTGCTTACTAGCTGATTAGTACAGTTTTGGAGCTCAATGACAAGGTTATCTACCAAAGGACCCAGAACCCATTGGTGCTTACTAGCTGATGAGTGTATTTTAGAGGTTAAAGATGTCATTTCTTCGTTGACTCGTCAATTAATGAAATGTGATTCCCAATTCTGTCCTGCGAGCCTGCTCCATTCTAAATGACACTCCTCCAAATTGGAAATTAGCATTATTTTGGTTTTAATTAGTGTACACACATACATATATACATGTGTTTGTGAACTTTTTAGCCAAATTCAATAAATCTAAATAATATAAAGTTTATTTTATAATTTGTTATCTAATTACCATTGAGAAGATCTATTACTACAAAAATTTCAGTAATAAAAATATCATAGAAACAAGAAGAAAAATTATTAGCCGTTGACAATATTGATCCAAACGAAACAAATCATGCATATGAAGGATAAGTTTCCTTCTATTTTCTCCTCCCTTCTCTTATGTGTAAACCTAACATATCTCTCTCTGGTTTCTCTTAAACTTTATTGTTTATATCCTATAAATTAATAGTCAAATTTATGTTAAGACATTTCTCCAACTGCACCCACCTCGATACTGCACTCGCACATGTAATGCAGGCAGGTTCTGCAAGCTTCTTCACGCACGCACCGCAGCAGCTCCGGTCGGAGAATGTCACTGCAGTTCATGGAGTCATTTTCTTTCTGTTGGTAATTTGTATCAGTGTTTCATGAAAAGTGTAAGCTATGTTTTTTTTTTTTTTTTTTTTAATTCCAGAATGGAACTTATCCTCTTGGTATACAAATAAATCATTTTCTACTTTTAATTTTCAGTATCTTAGGCAGCATATGTATATAACATTGATATATTTATATATGGAAAAGACACTCATACATGTATCTCGACGATGTTCTAATCTGGTCGAAATTTGCTTGAAGAATAATATAAAAATATGATATATATATATATATATTTGTATATGTACAAGTTTGAAAAGAATAAAAATCACTTACTTCTCGCCCCTTTTTTTTTTTTTTTAATTTCTTGTGAAATGAATTTTGTATATTCGCAAACTTATTATTTATCACTTTTAAATTATATACCTTTATTTTCAACGGCTATATATTTTAGTATATAATCGTATGTCAATTTAGTAATAAAAATATAAAAATAATTAGAAAAGTAAATGGGATTTTAAATTTTTTATTCAAGAGAATTATTATTATTTTTTTTTAAAAAAAGTATTAATGAGTACCGGACCATATAGCTAGGAAGGCACAATAAGAAGAAAAAATTTGCAATTAAAATAATGTCTTAATAAAGGAAATTAATAGATTACAAGAGAAAAAAGGGGATAAATTAAAATTAATTAATTAAGATATTTTTTTATCTTCTAAAAAATTAGTTTAAGAAAAAGTAGTATATATAGGAAATAAGGCGTAACTAGATATTTATATATTTCAATAATTATTTATATGTAAACTAAATTTTTAATATTATGCGATTATTATTAAGTGGAAAAAAAAATAAAAACAAATAAACTGTATCAAAATTTCAGAGTAAGTAACAGATATTTATTTTCCATATCTGGCTCAGATACTTTTCCCTTTTGACCAATTTAAAAAGTGTCTAATCAGGAAAATCAGACTATAAAGATGATATTCCTGATCAATGTCCGACTGCTCCAGTATAGGAAACAAAACCTCTATAAACAAAACCTCTCTCTCTCTCTCTCTCTCTCTCTCTCTCTCTATATATATATATATATATATATGCGCGCAAGACGTTCTGGTATAGAGAAATTAAACACGTTGGATTTGGTTTGTGTTTTGGCATATGTATCTTTCATCTTCTCTGCTCTCTGAGAAAATTTACAGGCGATAGAGATGGTGAAAGAGTCAGCAAGGAAGTGCGGCCATTGTGGGCTAAATGGTCACAACTCAAGGACTTGCAATGGCAATGGCGGTGACAAGAGTTCTTTCAGACTATTTGGTGTGGATATAGTGGAAAATAAAGAACCCGCCATTGTCAAGAAGAGTCAGAGCTTCGGAGATCTGCAACCTCTAGCGGACAAACATGAAGCTACTGATTCTGGGTATTCTTCAGATAGCCAAATTAATTCCAAGAAGCGTTCAGAAAGAAAGAAGGGTATGTATAATATATACCTACTTTTCATGTATATTTCTTAAATTCTGTGAGTGAGGATGAGAGTTATTCACACCCAGAAAAACAGAGAGAAACAAAATTTGAGAGATGAGATTGAAGTGAGTGATTTAGGGCTTCCAGCTGGTTTATTCTAATTCTCCCCCTTCTCTGTAACATCCCGCTTCACTGAATCCCTTTCGGTTTTCCAAAAGAAATCCTGTTTTTTATTTTGAAACCTCATTGATCTTTTCCTTTTGATTGTCTGTTTCCTTTTGATTTTGACAAAAAGCAGATAATTGGTTTTATAAATTTTCTTCTGTTTTCCAAGAATGCAAAATGGAAAAAATACTTTTAGCAAATTCGGTTACAATCTTACCCTGTAAATTCTAAACTTACCCATTAAAAGTTTGATTAAAGAAATTCAAGAATTACCATAACTGGTTGTGGGTACTAAATTTGGTTAATGTAAAAATGGAAACCCTAATTGATTAAAGATTCTGGTATAATTTTATTCATGGTTGGAAAAAATATTTCAGGAAATCCATGGAGTGAGGAGGAACATCGTTTATTTCTAAATGGATTGGAAAAGATGGGGAAAGGTGACTGGATAGGAATTTCAAAGAAATTTGTCAAGACCAGAACACCAACCCAGATTGCTAGCCATGCCCAGAAATATTTTCTCTTCCTGGCTTCCAAAGATAAGAGAAAACGAAGGACAAGCGTCTTTGATGTCGCCCTAGAACAATCTGTAATCCCTCTCATAATTCCCTATTATAAATTAATTTCCTCATGGAAAAAAAACAGAGTGATTAGATAATTTATTTTACAATTTGTTATCTAATTCCTCTCAAACTTTATATACGTATTTATAGGAACCAAAAGTTGAAGATTCTTCGGATGGAACTCCAGAAACTCTGCCACAAACTAACGAGGGAATGCCAGTTCTGGAAGCGGCTAATGCAGGAGCAACATCCATGCAATCAGCTAATACAGTGGGAATTACACAGCAGGTAAAATCAAAATCAGGAAGCACATGCATAGATACATGCATACACTTCCTACGAGCAATTTTGTGGACGTGTATCTAATGTTCTCTTTGAAATAATCTCACAGGCTAGTAATAGTCCATCAGGTCCAGTGCCAACCCATTTCCCACTCTTTCCTCTGATTCCAGCTTCTGCTATTTCAAATTATAGGGTACGTACATATATATATATATATATTATATAACCCAACTAAGATTATCTGATTCTGATATCATAGTACATTTGTGGATATACAGAGAAATGGAGGGAGGAAAATATTGATGCCCTTACCATCTCCATATGTGACTGTAATGAACAACGGGATACCTATTCGTTATGTCCAGCTGGCCCAAAGCTCATGGAATGGAAGAGTGAGTCTTCAACCAATCTCAGCTGGGCCTGCAACTTCAATATCATCATCTTCAAGAACAGACCCCCTGGAACTTACACTGAATGGGCCCTCTAACCCTAATTCGCAGACAAGCAACACTCACCCAAATGACGTCATCAATGCCCAATGACAAATGGCGTCTCCTGAGAATTTTTTTTTCTTTCAATTTCTCGAGTCTTCAACCAATCTCAACTGGGCCTGCAACTTCAAATATCATCATCTTCAAGAACAGACCCTCTGGAACTTGCACTTAATGGGCCCTCTAACCCTAATTCGTAGACAAGCAACACTCACCCAAATGACGTCATCAATGCCCAATGACAAATGGCATCTCCTCAGATTTTTTTTTTGTTCTTTTCAATTTCTTGAGTCTTCAACCTTAATTCAGATGTATTATATCACATGATTGAAAGGTTTTGAAACTCCTTAGCCAAGGGTACCTACCGATGGACTCAATTCCATACCCATGAGTGCTTGCTGGCTGATTAGTAGAGTTAATTTCCTTATAAATCAACTACTTTGTTTTAGTTTAGAAGTTAAAAAGTAATCTCCTCGTTCACTTAGAGATTAAAGATGTAATTTTCCCGTTCCATTCGTCAATTACTGAAATGTGACTTCCCATCCTGTCCAGCTTAATTAGCGTATGGGGGTGCGTATAGACATGCATATGTATAGACCAACTAATTCATATTTAATTTCAAATTTTTATCAAAACTCTAACAAGTCTAATATAAAGTGCTAAAGCGAAATTCAATAAATAATCTAAGCAAATTCAGAAAGAAAAATACTGGAGAAGTACTCACACAAATCATGCGTATAGAGCTTTCAAATTTCTTACATGTTTGAAATTAATTTAAGTCTTTTCTAATAAATTTCCTCAAAACTCTAAAATATTGATTATTAACAAATCTAAAACCATTAACCATAACTATGATAGGACTACATATATAATTTATAATGGCCGGTAAAAAAAAAAAAACATAATTTCCAAATCACAATTAAGAAACTCAAAAACGAAAAATCTTCATAATTTTCATTTATATGTATAACGTATGTATGATATATACATATATAAAAACTCAAAAACGACAAATCTTCGTAATGTTCATTTATACATATAACGTATGTATAATATATACATACACATATACACACATATATATAATTTATGTATGAAGAGCAACAAGATTTTTAAACCAAATCACAACATAAATTACAACAACTCACAAATACAATCTCAAACAAGCAGCTGTTTTCACTTCTCTTTCAAGATCAGAATTTTCATGGAGAAACTTAAAAATAAAAAAAAAGTAAATAAAATAGAGACGCCCAAATTTAAAACACTTCATCGAGAACGCCAACAAAAAAAAAAAAAAAAAAAAAAAAAAAAAAAAAAAAAACTTAACAACAAATTAAAAACATGATCAACAACCAATTCATGACCCAACTGAACCATACAGTTCTTTCATCACAGACCTTGGATTGATCGATCTCCACCCACTTTTGATTATCGAATAAAACCCTAATTCCACAACGGTGGCAGAGATGACGCCACATGTCAACTCATCTTTAAGAACCCTGTGACCCAGCCACTTGCTGACCGTACTGCTCCGCCTTCTCCTTCATCTCCCTAGCCTTTCCAGCTAACTTCATGCGTGCCTGGTCCAGCTTGTCCGCCCCCGGTGGGTGCCTTCCCGTCACATACCTGCATGTCCATTTTGTTTATAAAAATAACTTTTAAGAATAATATACACATGTTTACGTACACGTATTTATATTTATATATGTATGAGTACTAGCCTGTAAATCCATGATAAGACAGTGATTGCAGCTACACCAAAACCACCGGAAGCCAAGAACCCCGTGATCAAGAGTGCAACGGCGATAACCGCAGGGACAAGAACCGGACTGAAAATAACGAAGAGTGGCGTAGCTATGGTTAATGCAATGACAGTACCGGCTAGGGTCAAACCGGAGAGAACCAAAAGGGAGCCACCGGCAGTGACAGCGGTGGCGGCCTTGACCACCTGGTGGGAGCGGGGTTCAGGGCTGCGCTGGTGGGGCTGATCAGCCATCGATACAAGAATCAGACGGTGGTAACGAAATCAGAGAGTAGGACGAAGATCGGACGGTGATGGCGAGAGGTGCGGTTTCTGTTTCTGAGTGGGGTCCGTGGAGAGAGGGTGTGGGAAATTATATAGGGAGAGAAGGGTGTCGGTGGGGCCCTGGAAATGTTGGCACGTGTTAAAGAAGAAGGAGAACGTGTTGAGGAGCTTGTCATGCAAGGGCTGCATGTGTTAAGCAGGCTTCTCTTCAGAGACACGTTGATTTTTGTCGGCTTTTGAGGTTGTTGTAAAACAAGATTTAGAAAGCTGTCGATGGTTCGTCTTTTTTAAATTTACAGTCCGACAAACCGGGCTCGGCCCGGATTTATCGCCGATAAAAAGAGATTATCGGGCCTCCAAGTTTCGGGTTTGGACCGGGTCAAATTCCTGATTTGGGTCGATGTGGATTTTGGACTTGTTAGGCCTTGAAGTTTTGAAGAAACCCTTATAGAATTTACTTTGTGAATTGGGTTAATGGTATTAATGGAGAATCTTGACTTTTCAATTTGGGGCCTAATTTCTTGTTGTTGTTGTTTTCTCTTGTAGCATTAGAGAATGGATTGGTATGAGACCACAGAGATTGGTAGTAAGCTTATATTGTTAATTTGTTTTTGTTTAATCTTTATGATATATATATATATATATATTTTAAAAGTATTTTTATCGTCAATAGTATTATTTAGATCAGTACTATTTTGTGGAATAGTATATTAATATTTTATTATTATTATTACTAGATTTATTTAATTGAATTATTTTAATTTTTTCCAATAATTAAAGGAGATATTAATTTATATAGACAGTCTTATCAATAACACAAATGTGCAGCCTAACTAGCTATTAGGTTTCACCAAACCTAGTTTGGAAAGCTGAACTTAAACTTCAAAAAAAAAAAAAAAAAAACATGTGAAAAATGCTACATATAATTTGTCAAATTGATTTTTAGCTTGAAATGGAACGAGTTCCATCAGCGACGTCCAACCTGCTTGCAATAGAATCTTTAATTTGTGCTGCTTAACTACTCTCATCCACGATTTAAAATTTAATTTGTATAAAAGTTTAATTATTTTTTAAAATAAAAAAAATTTATCGAATTTTTAATTTATTATTATTCTTATAAAATAAAAAATTTATTTATTACGAAATATTTTTTTTATTATTTATAAACGAAATAAATTTATTATTATTTAATTTAACTTAATTATTATAATTTTATTTAAAAAATTAAAATTTATTTTTTATTTTATTAAATTAAATTAAATATTATTAATTTATAATTATTAGTGCTTAGATTAATGCTCAAGATTTCCCAGACGGTGCAACAACCACAGCTATAACTATTTTTTTTTTTTTTTTTTTGGCTTTGTGATTATTTATTATTATAATTGTACGGATAAATTATTTATTTATTTATTTATTTTAAAATAAAAATTCGTACGTTTCAATTAAAATTACAAAATTATGATGTACGACATTTTAATAACCTTTTTGTTTTGTTTTAACTCTTTCAATCAACACCAAGAACTTAAGCATTTGGTGATGATCAGATGGATAATGTTATGATTGGTTCCTTTCAACTTGTCTGCAAATGCAAAAATTATGGTCAAGGTCTCTGCAAAAAGTCCTCCTCCCTCATCTCCTCCACAAACATTCATGAATTATCTCCAAAGCTTTCGCCACCACACCTTTTTTTTAATTTTCTTTCACAACGACGACTCTCACCCCTCTAAACTCTCTATCTGTATCTACTAGTGTATATATATATATATATATATTGAAAAATCAAACGTGTTTCTCGCATTAATATAATTGTTACACGATGATGGAAAAAGGAATGAACGCACGTACACGTATATGTGTGTGAAGATGGTTAAGTTGTGTTACATACGTGGGTGGGTGTGAAGTGAAGTCAAAAAGGTAAACACAAAAATTACTTGTGGGGGTGGGGGGGTGGTTGGTACAGGAAATATTGGAATAATGATAACCGAAGACTACTTGTACGTACGGTACCTACTTACTAGGTTGTATAAATGATAATGCCAAACACATTTGTCTCCCACAACCCATGTCTCTTCAAATTTATCTTAATTGGATTAAGATTAATTACTATTTAAATACTCACTTAATAGTTATTTTTTCTATTAAAAACTAAAATTTCAATAATATCACAATTGAAGCTACGTGGTTTTAAATGGAATTTTATGTTGTTTCAATAAAAATAACATTTTAGATTTCAGTTTAATTTAAAATAAAAATACAAATTAATTTTCATAATTATTTAGAAAATTGCATTATTTTTTTAATCTTTTATTTTCGTGGATCTTTAAGATACCTAACTTTTAGTACGCTCCTTATTCCTTCAACTTGAAGCGATATGTTTATTTATTAATCTTTTTTCTCGTATGAAGTCTTTAGTGAGACAAATTTTTTAGTTAATTCAAACAAATAGTGAATCGCTTAAAAAATCATGGTATTTCTAAAACATGAGTGCCTTCTGGATCATTGTATCTCGAGATGTGGTTGCAACTCTTGAGTTGAGAGTGCGAAAGTATTTTCACATTTGGGAATGCAATGGAAGGGTCCGTAAAAATCATTTTGACTTCAAATTTTTTATGGAAATATGCTTTTTAACATCCTCTTAAATTACTAAAGATGGAACATCGTGCACCTATTAAATGTAAGGATCATCGTCTTGCTGCTTATATAAGTTAATATTTCAATAGCATATCTATAAAGAAGTTAAAAATAAATTTTCTCATATTATATCTTTCATTCGCTTATATGTAAACCTGATATATCGTTAAAAAAACTTAATGTCTAAGTCATTAAGCATGGTTGTGCATATGGATCATTGAGACATAAAATTAAAAAGAGTTGACTTAACAGAGTAAATGATATCTATAAATATATAATGTCTCGTATCAAGTCAATCTCCTATCAAGTGTAATGTCACTTAAATATCATACATCCTTATAGTAAAATATTTTATTAAATTAAAGTAATGAAACCACTTTTAAGTTACAAATTATTCTAAAGTTGAACGATTAGTAGTTAAATAAGTTAATTATATTATTTTTTTTGTTGAGATTAACTATATTATTAGTAATATATAAATTTATATTTTTAAAAAATTATACTAGTCTAAGCTACTGTGGTATTCTACTCATTCTTCATCATCATAAATGACTTGATTATCAAGGGTTTCACATCTAAATATCTCAAAATCCTTGTTGACTCCCAATTCCGTTTACATAAACAAATAATTTTAACACCATAATATATATTTATATATCTCATTTAATATATGAGCTATTATATATTTAGATAACATAAACCCGAATTTATTTAGCCGAACCCCATCATTTTCAGAAATTTACAAACCCAATTTCTGGCTTTTGCTTTTTCACCGAATTATATGGAGTATGCATTCAACCCAACATCTGTAGTCTGCATTCAACCCAACAAGTTTCCTATTCACTCCATACAATAATCAAACCATCACTTCATTCTTACCTTGTTATACAATCCACAACTTAGGAAACTACCTATCTAACCAATAATTGCTCGCCAACTGGCACATAACCCATCCGATATTGAAATTGAAGTGTATTCACTCTTTCCATATCCAACTCAGCTTCCTTAGCCGACGCCGACGCTTTCAGCCTCTTAGCCAAGTCACTATCAGAGGCCAATCTGGTGCTGGGCTCCGGTTCTCGGCGTTTCGCAGTGATTCTAACCGGCTCAGGCTCGTTAGAGCCAAGCCGGTGGGGGAAATTAAGCAATGCTTTCGAGCCTCGCATTCGATAAGCCGCTCGGTCATACGCGAAAGCCGCTTCCTCAGCCGTTTCGTACGTTCCGAGCCATACCCTCGCGCCGTTTTTAGCCGGGTCTCGAATCTCAGCAGCGAACTTCCCCCACGGCCGTTGCCTGACACCTCGATAATGCCTTCCTCTTGGCTTCTGTAAGATCTTTTCTTGTCTCTCCGGTGAAGAAACACTTCCGTTTTCACTCTTTGGAGCAACATACGCGCTTTCAAGTTGCTGATTTATTCCTTGTTTGACCGGAGCCGTGATCTCCAACTCATCGGTGGGCTCGGCTTTGACTGTCCTTTCTGTCAAATCTAACGGAGACCATCCAAAATGAAGAGCGTCACGGAGGGAGTTGTATATGATCATGTCCTCAGAGTCGTCAACTTTTAACGGCAGGGCACCCCAGTTCTCTGTCAAACAAGGGATGAGACTGGTAAAGCTTGAGCTTCGATGATGAGGAAAGTGATACTCTACGGCCATTTCATTCATTTTATATAAACTGAAGCTTCGGGAGGTGGGTTTCCAAAGAGATCAAAGATTATGATTTTGATGATTATGAAAAACAGGAAAAAAAAAAAAAAAAAAAAAAAAAAGAAAAGAAGAGGGAGGAGGAGGAGGATGAAAATTGAGAGAGAAATAAAAGGAATAATACGGGGTAGAATTTATGAAATGATAGTTTCAGGGATACTTATAATAAGAGAAACTGGTAGCGAATGGTGGGGATTTTACTTTTGTTTTTTTCGTTGTTATTATTAATTAACCCATTTTCCCATAATTTTCCAGATTGATTAAAATATCTGATTATGAAAAATATTTGGATGACGTCATTTTCCATGTAAACTTTTGGAAAATATGTGTGAAAAATTCTTGAGGCAAGTGGCCAAATTGTTGAACCTGTTTTGTCACGTGATGGGTGGATGACGTCATCACATGAAATCATTCATGATCCATGCGCAGATTTAGTGAGACACGTGTCCTGAGAGAGGAAACTGGGCGTCACCGGCTGGTGAGGTAGTCATATGAAACGGCCAAATGGGATTTGTTCATAATCTAAAGCTTATCTCTTCAAAGAAACGTATGAATCATTCCATTATGTGTTTATTAATCAATGATTAATTTTAAAATAATCATAAATAATTTTTTAATCAAACAAGGATAAAGTAAATAACTTAATTAGTCAAATTCCCTTAATCAAGCATCTAGAATTTATATTGTTTTAGGCCCCTCTCGGCTGCATTCATTTCTATTCGTTTTGCCACCCTGGACAGGCTAAAATATTTTAATTTTTGTTGTTTTCTTCATCAAGTGACGTCAAGATCGCCTCCTTAATTGTTTTAATTGATTAACTTAATATCCTTTAAAAATTTAGAAGGAAATTAGAAAAATATATAAAATAAATTAAATTTAAAAATAATTTATTTAAGAATTAAAACGTTATTTTAAAAAAAATAAAATAAATTAGAAAAATATTTTAAAATATACATATTAAAAATTATAATTAGTAGAATAAATTAAATTTTAAAAATAATTAAAAAAATATTAAAATCAATAAAATAATAAAATTAAGTTAGAAGAAAGTTGTAAAATTAATTAACTTAAATATTGTAATTTAATTAAATTAAATATTGTAAAATGAATATGAGAACAAAAAATAAAATAAAATAAAATAAATTAGAATTAAACATTCACAAAATTAATAAAAATGACCAATCAAATAAGAGATGTGCATGTGAGATTGAGACATGAAAAAATTAGGAAATGGAATAGGGGTGGCAACATGGATGGGAAGATTCCCCTCCCGCTCTTAGGTTGCCACCTCATCTAAATTAAACCACCTCATTATCCATGTCCCTTCCCCCACCATATAAAAGAGAAATAAGAGAAGAAAAGACGAATGGGGAGGAGAGGGAGAGAAGTGACGGGAAGAAGAGAGTGAGGAAGCATTGGGACTATCCGTATCGCGGGTGGTCTAACCACCGTGTGACACGCTCTTCTCACGTAGGTTCTTCTTCTAAACGATTTAAACGTGAGTTTATTTTCTTATTCTTCTTTGATTCTCATTTTACATAATTTAGAGTGTCATGCATAATGTTTAAAATAAATATATTTTAATTTTATTTGATTTTAAATGAAAAATTTAAACTTAAATAGAGAGATAGTGAGAGTAGTTTAGTGTAATGAAAGGGTGATAAAAATTAAGTTATATCCATATATATGTATATATATTTATTTAGTAGGATATATATATGGTGTATATATATATATATATATATATATTTATGCATATGAGATATACATACATAAATTATAATGAATATGTGAAATTATATTTATTTCCATGAATTTTGATGTAAATGTATGAAGGGAAACAAATATATATATATATATATATATATATACATATAACTATGTAAAAAAAAAATGCATGTATGA